AACTGAAAATAATAAAAATTAAGTGTCAATTGAGTTCGAGACGGTCCTTGGCATTATCCATAAGAAATTGTTGAAGTCGTTTTGTAAAAAGTTTCAAATTTTTCTCACTCTTTAGATTAGGTGGTAGTTTATTAAATAATGAAGCCGAGTTATCTTGAAAGGTTCCACTTTCCACAGGAACAGTGAGGTTGACTTGCGTACTTGAACGAAGTTGACGTCCAGGAATTCGTTGTTCAATTTTGAGATAGTTAGGGAATGACTGATCCCACAATGATTTATGAGTAAATCGGAGAAGTTGCAATTGTGTTCGCTCTTTGGTGGGAAGCCATTTCAGGTGTTGAACTACGTCTTTTTCGGTGGTGTATCTGTTTAAGACAAAGCTGGCGGCTGCATTCTGTATCCTTTGAATTTTCTTTTGCAAATATGCCGGAAGTGGGTAACAGACTACGTCGTTGTAGTATAACTTTGATAGGACTAAACTTTCGACAAGTTGTTTCTTTACGTTTAAAGGTGCTAAGTTCTTCAGCTTTTTCAAAGTTGTTAGTATTCCATAGCACGATGAAGATAGTTTCTTAATTTGTTCAGTCCATTTAAGGTGCTCATTTACCCAAGTGCCTAAAAGTTTGAATGACTCTGTTCTTTCCAATACCACTCCCTTCGCTACAATGTTGGGGACCACATCCTTTAGATTATGAATTGTTGACATTTGAGGAGTTGTTATCAGCATTTGTTTTGTTTTGGGTCCATTGAGAATTAGGTTGGATTTGGATGCCCAGTTCTCAAGATGTGACATTGTGTTATTCAACTTCTCTATTGCGTTTGTAAGTTCGCTTGGTGAGCAATGACAATAAAGTGTCGTATCGTCGGCATATTGAAAAGATTGGCATCCTAGGGCGTTAGGTAAATCGTTTACATATAGATTAAATAATACAGGCCCTAAAATAGAGCCCTGAGGGACGCCGAAACGTACGTCCAGGGTGTCAGATTGCTTATCGTTGATTTGGACGAACTGCYTTCTGCCATGTAAATAGCTGAGGATCCATCTCAGAGCATCTTGAGAAAAACCAATAGAATGAAGCCGTTTTATAATTGTAGAGTAGTCGACAGTGTCGAACGCCTTAGAGAAGTCAGCATAAGCTATAAGAGTTAGCTCACCCTTTTTCATTGCTTTGATGATATCATCTTTAATCTTCAATAAGATAGTAGTAGTAGACCAACCAAGGCTACCTGATCATGGTTAGGAATCATTTTGGCAAAAGGAATGTTTGGGTTTACTTTTTTAAGTTCATCTCTTAATTTTTCTACTCTTAAGGGCTCAAGCTTTCTAGATTTAACCGGTCTAGGCTCAAAAAATGTAGATGAAATTCCACGCCGTTTTTTACCAGGAATGTCACTTTGATGTCTAGGCTTGAACACAGTTGATTCCATTACTGGGGTATGGTCTACCTCTCTTCGCCCTGGTATACCCCATTTCCTGGGATTTGACGTGCATGGTCGATCATCTGATAATCTGTAGTTTGCTTTGTTTCTTGGCATGTCGTCAAGTTTCCATATCACTGCCATTATGTGACAACAACAACCACTTTTCCCTGCAGGGCAGATTCTATCACAGTGGGCTGACAATATCTTTGGCTTTTGTTTAGAATTGACAATCAACTTAATTTTGTATTTTACTGACTTACGGTAAGACCCCCAGCACAAAGCACGTACAAAAACAACTTCTGTTTGAGTTTCAGGGGATTTGTACACCTCAAGGTCATGAACAAATGATAATAACCTCAGTCCTTTACTACTTGATAAATCAACCAATGCATCGCCATCCACACTTTTAACGGCAGTTTTTCCGCAGTTTTTCAGATGTTCTAGAGTGTCAGTAGGAACAAAGTCCGGTAACATAGAGAAGTCTTTACAAAATTGTGTATCGTCAGAAGGGAAGTCGATTTTTCCCGCCTTTTATTTACTGATTACACCTTCATGACTAGCTATGACTCTTGCGATTTTTGCTTTTGTGTATGCTTTTGATGGATCGGGGTCGTAAACTTTGTCCCTTATCTCTGGTATTTCATTCAGATTTCGAACCCTAGAAGAAGATTAGTGAACTATAATCATTTATAAAAGCCGACTTACAAGTAACAGGTGCACAGCGACAATGTTCGAAATGTAAACATACCTCTCCAAGAGCTCTTTCTTGTTTCCTTTTTGTCGAACTCTTCGGCATTTAAGCCAGAATTGTAATTGCTTGACCGACAGTTTTACAATCTACTCATTTGTAAAAGAGGAACCAGGAATATCTTCTTGTAGAAGGTGGACATCATCATCCTCGTCGTCCGCCATCTTGGATTTGGGGCTATTAAGCCTCGTTTCCATGTTTACGCTCGATTTCAACTGAATAGGTGTATTGAGAGAAAATTAGGTTTAAACAGGCATGCTAATTTGTTGACCTAAAAGCATACAAAATTGCTCTAGTGTTCAAATTTCTCTCCCAAAATCACTGTATTAAGTTAAAAAACTTACTTTTTATTTGACATCTTTTCCTTGCTACTTGCTACAACAAGCTTAGCTCAGCTGGAATGAAAGCAAAGAGGAAAGAACTAGGACAAAAATTCAAAAAGCTAATAACAATTTCAGCATAAAAAAATGAATGTTTACAAATAAAAGTTACCGGGTGCACTTTGTTGCGCGACAAATTGAGGGAGGACGTGAAACAACAATTTTACATCGAATTTACAATTGAATTTAGACAAAAAAGTCTATTCAATTAGATCTACAATCGTGGACTATACTTGACAATTTTTCGCTGGAGCATTACAAATACTGTATCGTGTGCATAAACTGAAAATATTCCCCTTCCCTCCCTCCCCTCCCGCATCAATGTTGCAAGCAGGGGTTAATGAATGGACAACCAATGAAAAGAAAGCCACACAACATTGTATTGGGGGAAGGGGGG